TGTGAACAAGCCGAATTCCAAAAAGGATTCAGTACCATCGACCATATCCACACGATTACTAAGTTCATTGAGGTTTCTCAGGAGTTCAAGATGCCGCTCTGTCTAACGTTCATTGATTTAAAGAACGCCTTTGATTCTGTTGAGATGGAAGCGGTCATGGAAGCCCTAGCCAATCAGGGCGTACAAACTCAATACATCAGTATCCTTCGTGAGCTCTATTGTGGATTCACTACCATGATCTCACCATTCTACAAAGAAGTAATCATCCATATCAAGAGAGGGGTTCGGGAGGGTGATACCATTTCACCAAAGCTCTTCAGTGCCACCCTTGAGAACATCATGCGACGACTGGAATGGGAAAGCATGGGAGTGAAGATAGATGGTTGGCAACTACACCACCTCCGCTTTGCTGATGACATCGTTCTAATAACATCAAACATCAGCCAAGCAGCACAAATGCTGAACGACTTTGACCGTGAATGTGGAAAGGTCGGACTACAGCTGAATCTTACGAAGACAATGTTTATGAGAAACAGCCTTGTTCCTGACGCTCCATTCGCTCTCAATGGAACCACCATGTCCAAATGCAACAGTTATATATACCTAGGTCGAGAAATCAACATGATGAATGACCTGGCACCTGAGTAGCGCAGGAGGAAGAGAGCAGCTTGGAATGCCTTCAAGAACGTTGAAGAAATAACTAAAAGGACAAAGAACCTCCAGCTACGAGCACATCTCTTTGATTCCACTGTTTTTCCTGCATTAACATATGCCTCAGAGACCTGCACCCTATGAAAACAGGATGAGAACACTATTCGGGTCTCTCAAAGAGGAATCGAAAGAACTATGCTTGGAATATCACAATTCACTCAAATGAGAGATAGAATCCGGAGTTCTGATCTTCGTCAACGTTCAAGAATCAGCGACGCTGTCTCATTTGCCAAGAGATCAAAAATCAGATGGGCTGGACACGTAATGAGGTTTACAGACAACCGCTGGACTAGAGCCATTACAGATTGGATTCCATGGGACGTCAAAAGATCACGTGGCCGCCCACCTACCAGATGGTCCGACTTCTTCGTCAAGACCCTGAATGATTGGTTTGAGGCTCTGCATGTTCCTAGAACGAACAGATACCATTGGGCTATGCTAGCACGCAACTGGGATGAATGGAGACGTTACTGACATCCGCTCGAGTAAATCGATGAATAACGGGGATTAAGTGATTAAATGATAAGTGATATAGGAATGGGAGAAGTCAACCTCTCATTGTTTGCAGATGACATGATACTATGTTTAGAACATCCAAAAGATTCCTCCAAAAAACTCCCTAGAAATATAGCTTTTATATTAAAGTAGCAGACCATAAAATTATATGCAAAAATCCATAGCTTTCCTATATGCAACTAATAAAATTGAGAAAGAGGTTTTTAAAAATATCCTATTCGAAATTATGTCTCAGAAAACCAAGTACCTCAAAATAAACTTAACTAAAGAGGTGAAATACTTATGCAGAGAAAATTGCGAAATACTATTTCAAGGGGCTGGAATGATAGCATAGTGGGTAGGGTGTTTGCCTTGCACCTGGCCAACCCGAGTTCAATTCCTCCACCCCTCTAGGAGATCCTGGCAAGATACCAAGAATATCTTGCCCGCAAGGCAAAGCCTGGCAAGCTACTGATGACACATTCGGTATGCCAAACACGGTAACAATAAGTCTCACAATGGAGACGTTACTGTGCCCGCTTGAGAAAAGTGATGAACAACAGAAGGACAGTGCTATAGAGCTACTTTTCAAGAAATAAAAGAGTACACAAGAAAATGAAAACACATCGGCTTTTAATGGATTGGTAACATTAATAACATTAAAATGGCAATACTTCCCAGAGCATTGTATAGATTCAATGCAATCCCTATAAGGATACCCATGCCATAATGAAAAAAAAATAGATCACACACTTCTGAAATTAATTTAGAAAAATACCCCTTTCCCAAATAGCTAAAGCAATCCTTGGGGGGGAAAAGATGGGAAACATCACTTTCCCCAACTTTAAACTGTACTATAAAGTGGTAGTAATTAAAACAGCATGGTATTGGAATAATGACAGGCCCTCAGTTCAATGGAATAGACTTGAATATCCTTTGACTGACATTCAAGTACATGATCAGTTAATCTTTGATAAAGGATCAAAAAAAAGCTGAAGTGTTGCAAGGAAGCCTCTTCAATAAGTGGTATTGGGAAATTCATGGTTAAATACATGCAAAAACATAAAATAAAAAATAAATTCCGACTTCTTTCTAAAGACTTGATAAAAAAACTAACCAAAATGGATTAAAAACCTTGATAGTAGGCCTGAATTCACAAAGGACAGAGAGGAAAATATGGGCAGTACTCTCCATGATATTGAAGCTAAGACATCTTCAAGGATGAAACATCACTGACCAAGCAATCAGAAGCAAAGATAAATAAATAAAACTACCTTAAAGTATCAAGACAGGAAATTATTACCAGAATACAATGACATCCAGAGATTGGGTAAAATTATATATCCAACACTCATCAAATAAGGGATTGTTATCCAAGATTTATAAAGCACTGGTAGAACTTTACAAGAATAAAAAGAATACAACAAAAAAATGGGGATAAGAGATAAACAGAAACTTTTTCAAAGAACAAATAGTAAAGGCACACGACAAAGTCCTCTACATCACTAATTATCAGAATGATGAAAATCATGATCACGACCATCCTGTTGTTCGTCGATTGCCTCGAGCAGGCACTAGTAACGTCTCCTTTGTCCTAGCCCTGAGATTTTAAAAAGTGCCATATTCAAGACTCTTTCAGGGCTAGGAGAATGAGACCCATCATTGTTACTGGAATTTGGTATATTGGGTACGCCATAGGGAGTTTGTCAGACTCTGCCGTGTGGGCAGGTTACACTTGGTAGCCTGCTAGGTTGTCCAAAGAAAGAATGAGATATAAAACCCAGATGAAAATCAAAACAATGAAACATCATTTCATACCAGAGAAACTGGCACATGTCAAGAAGAACAACCAGTGCCTTTGTGGCTACAGTGAGAAAGGGACTCTCGGTCATTGCTGGTAGGAATGCAATTGGTCCAGACTTTCTGGAAAACAACATGGATATTCCTCAAAAAAAATATAAAGAAATTATGCTTCCATATGACTCAGCAACACCAGGTCTGGTAATAGACTCGAGTGGTCCAAAAAACACATGGCAGAAAAGCCATCTGCGGTTCTATGTTCATTAAGCATTCTTCACAATAGCCAGAATCTGGAAACAACCCAAGTGAACGAGAACAGAGGAGCCAATAAAGAAACTATGGTGCATCTACACAATGGAATTCTACACTGTCAGGAAAAATGAAGTCATGAAATTTGTTCATATATGGATGGATATGGAGAGTATTGTGCTGAGTGAAATGAGTCAGAAGCAGAAGGACAGAGAGATTTGCCTTATCTGCAGAATATTAAAAAAACATAATATGTGAATTAAACCCAAAAATAATATGTGAATTACACCCAAAGAACAATAGGAACAAAAGCCAGGAGGACTGGTTCATGGTAGGAAGCATGCCACAAAGAGAGAGGGAGAGAAGGGACCACTGTGACAATGATAGTTGGAAATGATCACTATGGACAAGAACTGAGTGCTGAAAGGAGGTAAAGTTATATTCATGATATCCTTTCAATATTGCAAACCACAGTGCCTAAAAAGAAAAGTGAGAAAGAAGGAGAGAGAGAGATAAAAATATTTGCCATAGAGGTGGACTGAGGGGTTGGGGTGGGGGGTCTGGTGGGAGGGAATCTAGGGACATTAGTGTTGTGAAATGTTCACTGGTGGAACATTGATGGTGTGAACTGTACACAGGTATTGGAATCTGGTATGGTGAAATTCGATCATGAATAACTTTGTAACTATATCTTATGGTAATTCAATAAATTTTAGAAAAATAACAGCAAAGTTATGTGCATGAAAGCTAGCTTAGGAGTTAAGGTCCTTTCTTTGTTGCAGCCAAGTGCTGGCACCTCATATGATCCCCTAACTACTGCCAAGAGTTTGGAGTGGCCAAAAACCCCACTCCAACTCCACCCTGCAAACACCCATCAAGTTCATATTTCTCATTCATGATATTTAGATCAACAGGTGTACTTTGTTTTTGGTCCTCATTAATAGAGGATCAACACAATTTTCATCTTGTGAACACAAGTTTACAGAGGTAAAGAAAAATATAATGTGATGCATTGAGCTTTTATTCTGACTGCTTCTGTTCGACGTGAGCTACCTTTCCTCCCATTTCATTGTTCAGTGAAAGTTCAGAAAAAAGAGAGACAGAAATTCTTACGAAACCACTAAGGACCTCTGCAAGACATTTCTTATTGTTTTTTATCGAGCTCGAACGGGCCCAGTAACATCTCCATTGGAGACGTTGTTGTTACTGTGTCTGGCATATCGAATACTCTCGGTAGCTTGCCGGGCTCTCCGAGAGGGGCGGAGGAATCGAATTCGGGTCGGCCATGCTGGCCGATTGTAAGGCGCACGCCCTACCGCTGTGCTATCGCTCCAGCCCTTTGCTATCGCTCCAGCCCTTGTTGTTTCTTATCAGGGTCATAAAAGTAGTATGTGAAAGAGTGTTGTAAATTGCATTGGTCATATTTCTTCTACAATGTTATCTTGTGGCAAACTAAAATAGTGTAAAAATAAAAATGTTCCTCTTTAGCTCAAACTGAACCCATTAAAGGAGCCAATCAATCACAAGTTCTCTTGAGTGACAGAACAAACAAATATTCTTCTGTCTACAAAGAACTAAAATATAAAACGCATACAAGGAGTGAGAGGAACGGATAGAATGGATAGAGTATGGAGAGGAATAATTAAATGAACTACCAAAATCTACTGCTCTTTCATCAATATAGGTCTTTGCTCCAGCATTAATTTAGAATATTGAATAAATAAAGCTGTTTATTTTTTTCCTAGGAAAATATAAATATCGATGAAGCCTCCAGATGCCTGGTGAAACATATACTTGCAAACGAGTGTGATCTCATGGAGTCCATTGAGCCAGATGTTGTGAAGCCGCATCTCGCAGCGCCCAAGGTGGTCAGCTGTTCCGGCTGTGCTAAATCCTAGTAGGCTCCTTTGCCTGCAGGTGTTAGAAATATTCCCACCATCTCATGAATTGTGCCTCTGTTTTATCACGTTGGGGTGATGCCAGGATGGGAATACACATGTCACAAGCCAAAAGATCTATCCCTGTATCTATCCTATAAGAGAAAGAAATATAAAGTGTTCTTACGCTCTTCCTCAGCCTCGCCAATGTTTACAACCTTTAAATATTTAGTCTGTTACCAAACTTAGTTCTGTAGCTGAGCAAAATTCTGCAGGCCCAGAATCTGTACTGTTATTTGCTTCTTTACATCGGTTTAGGTCTCAGATCTTAAAGAAAAAGATCAAAAGAACAGACGTGCTGTCAAGTTAAGCATTGGGTTTTGCTTCACTCCTGGTGTCTTTGTCCAGATTTCAATACCTTCACTGCTGCTCTGAGAGGCCTGTTAAGAAGAAACAGCATTTTCCTCAGAAATGACCTCTAGTCTCACGGCACTAAGAGTCATCTCATTATCAACTTCAGAATCATGTCAACAGACTTCCTGAACTTGTGCTGCTGTTACTGTCCCCTACCATGCCCTGAATGTAACTGAACAAGAAATAAATAAAAGAAACTCTGTCCCAGTATATGTGCTGTCTTAGCTTTCTCGGACTCAAGCTCTGGTACTCCTTTTTACATGCAATGCATGCAATACATGTGTGTGTATTCATAAATGAAAAATAAGCACTGTAGCACTGTCCTCTCGTTATTCATCGATTTGCTCGAGCGGGCACCAGTAATGTCTCCATCATGAGACGTTTTGTTACTGTTTTTGGCATATTGAATACATCACGGGTAGCTTGCCTCATCTAAGGTGGACATAAATGATTAGATCAGTACTCCAGCTTCCTTGTTCCTGATATGAGAAGCACCGAGACATAATCTATGCACTGTCTTAGAGGTCTTCAGAAGAAGTGAGGCAAAATTTCACATGTTGAGTCTCCCTCTTTTAACTGTCTCACTTCTATCTCCTGTACCATGCTTTCAAGGATTACTATCCAGTTAATAGGTTCTTCTCTTTAATTGACCTTCAACTAACTTTTAGAACTAATTACTCTTTTATAATGTGTAGAAAAATAGAGCATTTAGGAAGTAACTCATTACCAAGAATCTTTCTCTATTCTACTGTTTTTCTTCTGAAAGATTCACTAAAACATAACACGTAAGATATACATATATATATATGATCAAATCTGTATTATATAACTCTTTCCCCTTTAGAGGTTGTTAATTGTATAGTCTTAAAAATAAATTTTCATCAATAAGCTCAGTCCCTCAACAAATATGTATTGAGCAATTATTGTATTCCCAACACGTCAGTAGGCACCATTGAGGAGAAACAAATGATGAATCATACCCAGATATTAGATTGCTATAGGTGTTACAGAGCTTAACTGCTACAGGGCACTGAAATATGTAAATAATTTACAATGTTCCAAGAAATAAGTGTCCAAAATAAGATAGGTATTTTGAACAATATGAATTCAGAGACAGCAGCTCAGAAATTGCTTAAGGAAATATATGGTTCGCTACCATTCTTTTCTTAGAACACTGGGATATGAGCAAATTATACTTTTATTCTGCTAGATATTCCTACTGACTGTGACATTCTTCTCATTCTTTTCTATTATTCTGGAAGTAATACCCATCCTTAAGGACCAACACAATGACACAAACTGGTAGTTCTGCCAATCTTTGTAGATAATGTGAATATTTCCCACAGTTTTTTTGGTTCTTGATTACTTCTATCATCTAACACTCACATTTTGTAAGTTACATATTAACTATTATTTATACATCATATTCTATTGGATATGCACTCATATAAAAGTCTACTGTTCACTTAATCCCCTCAGTAACTCTAAACAGAAATACTGATGTTACTTTATTTATGAAGAAATTAAAGTACAGAGATAATAAATAATTTGCTAAGGTTCACACAACTACCTGTTGGCAAAGTAGTGATTCAAAATCAGGTTAATTCCAATGTTCTGCATCTAATTGTTATGTTAAACTCAGAGCAGGAACTTACAGCTTTTACATGTCATTTACTATTACAATTTTCTCTTAACTACAGTGAAAGTTATTTTTGTCAATAGACTATACATACAAAATACTTAGCATAGTGTCTACAGCTTGCTAAGCAATTGATAAATGTGATACTATTCTGTCTGCTCAGTTATTTATTAAGTTGAGGTGATGAAAATAAATCTAGCAGAGAAAAATGCTATATGCTTTTGGACATGTTAAAAATGGCACCATGGCAAATCTGTAGACAGAAGGAAAATTAGTGGTTGTCTAAACTTGACAAGATTGGGACTAACTGCAAAAAATCATGGGTTTGTTTTTAGCTATGACAAATGCTGGAGCGATAGCACAGCGGGTAGGGCGTCTGCCTTGCACGCAGCCAACGTGGCCGACCCGAGTTCGATTCCTCCGCCCCTCTCGGAGAGCCCGGCAAGCTACCGAGAGTATTTGATATGCCAGACACAGTAACAACAAAGTCTCCAATGGAGATGTTACTGGGCCCGCTCGAGCAAATCGATGATCAACGGGAGGGCCTTTACCTTTTTACCTTTAAATGCTATCCAATTTATTGCAGTGAATCTTAAGCAGTAAGTTTCACAAACATAGTAAGATGACCAAATGAAGTACTTTAAGTGAATGATATGTATGGTATGCAGAAAAATATATAATTATAACGATATAAACTTTGAACTATTGGAGAAGCAAGGTGTCTACTGTCTCCCTGGTACATTATCTTAGCATCACCATGGAATATAGTCAGGGAGTTATTCCATAGTCAGAAATATTAGGATTCTATTTGTGTTTGCTTTTATCTTTATTTTACTATAACCTACCATGTTAGTCATAACTACTGAATCAATTGTTTTCCCTCAAATGTTAATATCTGCACCAGACATGGGTTTCACATATGCTGCATCTATCTGTTTCTCTCTGAAAAAATATCCTTGGACTTTTTGGTCTTCTCGGTCATGAGATAATTTGAAAATAATATAAAAAATAACAGTAAGAAAGGTCAGAAATGGTAACGAACTATGTCAAAGTTCTCTCAAAAATGAGGGCAAAAGTCCCTGGGAAGTAAGCACACACTATTTAACTTTATTAAGTATATGAAATTTTCCATTTCAATCAAATAGCTTACTTTATTCTATTTGATTGATTTTTAGACTTATTAATCCTTAGAGGCATGATATTCTTAAATATAATGCACTCAATACAATTGTAATAAAAGATGTGGGATTTAAAATTTCAGAATCACAGATTGAGTTTTAGAATCACAGAACAAAAAAAAATTTTAAGATAAATAAAAGAAATGTGGAAATGCTTTTAATACCAAATATCAGAGAATTGCTATTACCTGTGACAGAATGCAATAGTTTTTATTTTGTCTTAATCTAAGCTTTAAAGAAAGATTTTATGACAGACTTATAGAATCATTCAGTTTGTATTCATTTAATTCTTCAATCAAACATCTATAAAAGTGACTGCTTTAAGCAAGTTCTGTGTTTGGTGCATTAAATAGGTCACATGTCAAAATTTCATCTAAAATTCATAGTGCTAATATATGTTACTTTTTTCTCTTTTCTCTGTGATAGTTGTCATGGAAACGTGAAGAATGAAAGTCAGGGTCCTTGCTTTTCAAATTTGATGTTTTCTTGGGGAAAGGGGGTGTGTACTAACAAGACAGACAAAATATACAAATTCTTTATTTGCTGGAGCGATAGCACAGCGGGTAGGGCGTTCGCCTTACAAGCGGCCAACATGGCCGACCCGAGTTCGATTCCTCCGCCCCTCTCGGAGAGCCCGGCAAGCTATCGAGAGTATTCGATATGCCAGACACAGTAACAACAAAGTCTCCAATGGAGACGTTACTGGGCCCGCTCGAGCAAATCGACGATCAACGGGAGGGCCTTTACCTTTACCTTTACCTATTTTACAATAATAGATATTGACATGTAATATCTATTATAGTTATAATACCTCATAATTCAGGTCCTAGAGCATATATTTTCTATCATATCTAAATACAACGACATTTAGTCATCACAGAAACTCTACTTTTAACAATTTTAGGATGAAGAAACAGGATGGTAGAAAATAATATCCATCTGTATCATATTCTCTGACAGGGTTCTGGTCAGTATTCATGGTTTCTGGTCACAGTTGGCTAACCAGAGTCACATGTTCCTTTGGGTTAAGATGGCAGATTTAGGGCTATAATTATAATTCATTTAGTTAGTCAGAGTACTTTCCTTTACCTTATGTGTTAGGGAGAGTCAGGCAGAAGGAACAGGTCAGGGAACAGCTTGGTTTAGTTATGCACGAATCCTTACATAGTCTTGAACTTCTCAAATGTACTAAGGCAAAAACTCCTTTGCTTTCATTGTTTCAGGGCGCATTGAGTTACATTTTTCCACTTGTAAATCAGACTCTCATGACAACCATCATTACAATGGCATTGCACTTGTTCCAGTATGTCTGTGTATATGGTCCTCAAAGTTCAGTATACAATAACAGCTTGTTAAAATGCTTATTAACATACAATAATAGTCCCAATCAAATGAATATTTTTATAGGCATGGAGGTTTTGCTTCAAATATACTACCAATAGGGAAGTATGTAAAATCATTAGTGATAAAAGGTGATTTTTATTAATCAAAACTGCAAATTATGTTTAGTTTATCTCAAAATTAGTAGGTGAAACAAGTAGCTTATACAATACAAACAATGTGCTCAAATACTTTTAAATAAATTAATATGAAATACATAAGAAGTTTTAGTATATTATTATGACACATGCTGTTTTAAAATTTTTAAGTAGTTTAAGCAGATAGTGTTTGCATACAAAAGTTAAGAGGCAGTTATATTTAGAGAGACTATTGAAAGAAATCACAGAACACAGAAGGATGAAAAATAAACAAAAGTAATTGTCAAAGTCCAGAGTAATGTGGAATAAAAG